GCCAGTCCAGACCCTTGCCTGGCCCAGGGTCGGTGTCCGTGGGGAGCGGGTACCAAGGCCTGTCTCAGCGAGCTGGGGGGACCAAGTGCTTTTGACGTATGCTCAGGACCAGTGACTGCCCCACCCCTGGGCCTATTACCCAGTAGTGCTTTGCTCTCTCAGCCCTGTTGGTGCCAACTTCTGGGAGCTGGGGCCTGCCTCTTGCTCACAGCTTAGCTGTGCTTTAGATTAGCCCAGTGTTGTCCATTGTCAGCCAGTAGGGTTGCCAGATGGTTTAACCAAAAATACTGAACCCCCCCAGCCCCTCCCAAAAAAACAAAAAACACTGGGGAAAAAATTCTGTTGAGGGGAGAAAAAAAAGAAGGGGGGAGAGACCACAGTTGTTGAGAAAAGGGGAAAAAAAGGACTTCAAGAGTTATTAAGCAAAAAAAACCCAAATAAAAAATGAAATCATAAAACAGCATTAAAACAGCAATGACCCCTTTCAGAGTGAGTGCAGTCAGAATAGGGAAAGGAACATGGGAGAGGTTGAGCACTAAGACCCAGAGGAGGCATTGCTTCCCCTTGGTCTTTAGGCTTTTTGCCAACAGCCATTTTGTTTTCTTGATCAAGCCAGAACACAGCTTCCCTGCAGAACCAGGTAAACAGGGGGTCTGGGAATGGGGGAATGGGAGTATCAGGGGCCATGGGGCTGGGCCCAGTTGCTGAGCACATCATAGGGTTGCCAGGTGTCCGGTATTTTCACCTCCTGGTGGGGAAAAAAATCAGAAAATACCGGACATTTTGGATGTCTGATATTGTCTGCATTTTTTTACCGGACAGGCGGCAAAAATACCAGACTGTCTGGGTCAACACCAGACACCTGGCAACCCTATTAGCCAGGCCTCAGGTCTCACACTGGGCCTGCGCTACAGGGGCTTTTGTTTCAGGCCCACATCTCACTCCAGAACCCAGGCCCCCCATCCCCCTCCCCTCCCCAGCCTGTCTGATAACCAGAGGATGGACCCAGCCACATGGATGTAGCCAGCACTTTTTGGAACCCAAGCTGCCTTCGGAGCCAGCATTAGTGCAGTGGAAAAGACCATCTCAGTTTGGGAATGGGCGACGGGGGGGCCCTGTGGTGATTCCCGGTTCTGTTCACGCCCTCTGGGGCCCCTGGCATTGGCCACTGTGGGCAGACAGGACACAGGGCCGGATGAACCTTTGGTCTGACCCCGTCTGGCTGCTCTCGTGTTGGTGGGTGGGCGCCAGAGGCCGAGGGCACTGACTGTGGCTTGTGGCTGATGGTTTAATTGTGCTGACTGCATCTTGGCTCAGTCCAGGGCATCTGCAAGGTGCCCCTCGCTGGGGCGGGTGGGTGGCGCCTACCCGCCGGCCTGCCCGCTTAGCTCCGGCGCTGTGTCCGAGCCGGCCCCTGCCGCGAGGAGCCCCTCCTCACCTTGTAAAACTCCTTCAGCTCCTCGGAGCGGTTGAAATCCAAGTTGAAGCGGGAGTAGGACGGGGCGTGCAGCCACCTGTCCCAGCCCCGTGCCCTGCAGCCCAGCACGAGGCCGGGGTCGGGCGAGAAGAGGGTGGGGAACTGGCCCCCTTTGCTGTAGGGGCAGCGGCTGGTCTCCATGGCAGCGCTGCGGACCTCACCTTGTAAAACTCCTTCAGCTCCTCGGAGCGGTTGAAATCCAAGTTGAAGCGGGAGTAGGACGGGGCGTGCAGCCACCTGTCCCAGCCCCGTGCCCTGCAGCCCAGCACGAGGCCGGGGTCGGGCGAGAAGAGGGTGGGGAACTGGCCCCCTTTGCTGTAGGGGCAGCGGCTGGTCTCCATGGCAGCGCTGCGGAAATCCTGGAAGTATTTCATGGTGGTGTTCCCGTAGGTGTCCCCGAAGGAAAACACCGTGTTGGGGACATGCCCACGGTACCTACAGAAAAGACAGAAGCCGTGAGGCTGGGGGCACCCTGGGGAAGGGGCGCTCGGCTCTCCGCGTAACTTTAGCTACATCAGAGAGGGCCCCAACGTACCCCCACTCAAAATCCCACCTAGGTCCTAGCTGAGAAAGCCAGGAGGAGGGGAGAGAGAGGCTCCTCTCAGGTCTGGGTGCCTCTGCTTACACCCTGAAACGGCGCCTTCCCCTCACCTTCCCATGCAGAGCGGCAGCTGGCCAGCTACAGGTGTGATGCCGAGGAAGGGAAGCCAGGAGGCCGGGAGCGCACGCACTGGGCTGAGTCCCGTACACCGCCGCTAATTCTGGGTGGGTCCCACGGGAGCCTGCGTTGCGGAGCGTGGCCGTCAGTGGCCGATCTCTGACATTCGGGCCCCAGGCGGACACCTGGAATTAACGGGGACCTCGAAGTCCCTTACGCT